CACAAGGAAAGCAGACTGCCACAGGAGCCTCACAACTCCTCCAGTTACTTCTTTATAAGCATTATTAAACAGCATGGCAAAAGGGTAATAACTCTCACACAACTGTGAACTCCTAAAGGGCAAATAAGCAGCAGGACAACAGTAAATATACAAAGCACAAGGCTGAAACCAGAGGACATCTGCAGAGATCAGATCTGCTGTTCTCTCGTTGTGCCTCTAACATCACCATGAGCTTTTCATGCAAGCTGTGGGAAAAATAATCCAGTGAAGCAACAAAACTTTCAGCATGGATTAACAACCAAATTAAATCCAGACCCCTTCACTGGAGCTTATGGAGACCACACAGAACTCTGCAGCAACACACATCCACTCTTGTCAGCATCCAGGTGAGAGGATGTTTGCTGCACATCCTGTGCTGCATCCATCTTTCACCAGTTATGAAAGGAATACAACACTTCAAACACCTGTCCCTCTCAGTGAAAAACTAACAACAAAGAGGTATCCTCACCTTGACAATAAGGGTTGCTGGGGTTGAAGTTCAAAGCAAACTCATGGGATACCTAGGAACGGCGACATTGCAAGCACTTACGGAATGCACACAGGAACAGAGCAACTGTTCAGTGTTGTGAAGGCCCTACCTGCCAGTCAGGTGGAACCTGGGCTCCAAACCCAAATGCAGGAAACAGCTTGTCCCTGGGAGAGAAAGGGAAACAACAAGAACTGAGAAAGAGCAATTCCTTAATAACTCACTATTCTGTTTTACTCCCAGAAAGCAGCTGGAGGTTCCATTCCTGTCATGAGGAATGGGTACCCCATCCGGCTGCCCATGGCCAGTCACCAGTCACCCAAGGGTTTCAGGCCTGATTTTAGTGTTTCTTTCAGTGCAGCACCCGCAGGACTCTAGATCTAGAGATTTGGAAGTAACAAGAGAAAAGCCACCACAGCCACAGCCTGGCTGAAGGACAGAGCAGACAAACACGTTCCCATTGAATCAAACATTCATGTCTGAAACGCACCACCAGCAACAAGGGATTAGTGAGCAGCTAAAGCAGCATTACAGAGTAACCCAGGGCCAGACAAGGGCAGACCTGGAGGGACAAAGCAGGGAAATACACTAAACTACAAAGGGCTGCCACTGCCCTCCCTGGCAGTAACAGAAGCAGGAGGAAGCAGTAGCACCTCCGGAAGGGATGTCCCAGGGAAAGGCAGCACCTCAGTCATTCAAACACTACAGGTTTGGACAAGCTATCAGCCTTGCTCACTGACACATGCTGCAGTGCATTTTTGATGCAGTGGCTGGATCAGTTAAGATCACCACATACGTGTCATAATCCTGGACCACACTTCCCACACTCCAGATGGCAATCAGGTACTCATTTATCCCGTCTGGGCTGATGTAGTGAAGAGAATCTGGTGACCTGGGATCTCCGTTGGAGCCAGTAAAGTCTACACCCACCTAATCAGGCAAGATGATGAGAGCAAGTCACTGGTGCACCACCAGAAGCAAATGAGAACAACCATACCCACAGCAGGCCCACAGGGCTCCCTTCCTCCCAGCAACAGGCACACAAGCCTGCATACCTTTGCCCACTGGGGTACATGCATGTGTAAGGAGTAGCAATCCTCTCCACAGATGGACTGAACGGATCTCAAAAGTCAAGAAACCCTCATGCCATTAAAGTTGTTGCTTGATCAAAGAAAGTAAAAATCTGGTTTTTGCAGTCTTCATCACTGCAAAGTCACACTGCATTGGTCATTTACATCACAAATTAAAGTACTAATCACAACTTCAGTTATCTACCAAGATGTGCAACGGGGAAACAACTCACTGTGAAGTTAATCTGGCAGCCTCCCATGATGTAGTCCAGGAATGAATATTCTCTCTCAATCTGGAGGAACAGACAGGCAGTGTTATACCTCCTTCCCACAACAACTCACTGCAATCAGTAAATAACAAAGCAAAAATACCCCAGTTAAAATCTTCCTACCTTGCAGGATTTTATCCTAATAATGCCAGAGTTTTTGTAGCTCTTTTTCTTTTGTTTCTTCTCAGGATGAATGCATTCAAATTCCACCTACAGAAAGCAAGCATTGAAAAAGCAAGTCCCCAGACAGCAGCATTTATAGCAGGACAAGTTATTGACACAGAACAATGTCACACATCACACAGTTAGTTACCCAAAAACCTGGCAGAAGCCTTACACTTCATTTTGAAACCATTTGCAACTACTTTGGTTGCTCTCTGACAAGATAAATGGGATGCTTTTGCTCCCAGCACTGGCAAAATACAAGGGAAGACCTCAGAGATGTCTCTCTCCTTAACATAACTATTATTCCACATGCAATCATGGAACAGTGTCATTGGGTTTTCAGGTTACAACCATAGAAATGGAGCTGGCTGGAACTGGAAGCAGTCCTAGGCTACATTCTGTGTGTGAATTCATCTGCCTGAATTCAGATGAGACATCTCCACAAGAATGAGAGTTCAGGTTTTCACTGCAAACTCAGAGAAACTGGCATCACCAGCAACTGATTCAACTGATTCTACACTGGATGCCCAAGACAAGGTAAGAAGAGTGGCCCTTGGAAGCACTGCTGCTCTCTGTTACCTGAAAAGGCAACCAGAGTGCTCAGGAGGGTGACCAACTCAAGCATGAGACAAGCCCTACCTCTGTACCTATCTGTTAAAGCATGAACAAGCCCTTTCATTTCCACTTGACTCAGCAGAGGCAAAAGCAAGTTGAGCTGCTGGGAAAGGGAGCTGGCTGTCAGCAGACCAACGGGCTCAAGGATGTCATCAGAAATAGGAATGGTAACAGTACCCAAGGAAAAAAGAGCAATGTAATCCCCATACCAGGTTTATTCTTCCCAGGTGCTGGCTTAGTAATACAGAGATATAGACAGGAAAAGAAAAGGACTCCTGGAGACAGCAACTGGAAATATCTCCGAGGTCAACAGGAAAAGGTTTGTGAAAGACTGAATTCTGGAGCAGGTTAGGGGGGATTGAGGGAACTCACCGGAGAGCTGTCACCTTTCTGCAGCTCAGTCAGGGTGGTTTCAAAAGTGCCTATCAAGTCATGCGAGCCATCGCTGTCGTGATCTGCACACTGGACCTGAAGAGAGAGCAGCAATGGGCAATGATGTATTGCATCAGGGAGAATACAGCTGTTCACCACTGGATTGGCTCTGAGAGCCTTGCAGCAGTGACAGCGCAGACCCCCTCACACCTGAGCTGGGGGTAGCATCGACATCACTAACTGAGACCTGACAGGAAGAGAGACACCGAGACTGAGTCTTAGACAAAGGAAGATGCTCAGTTGCTCACCCACTTCAGTAAGCACAGTGGGAGTTTTAATTAAAAGCTTTCCCTAGTTTAAACACGAGAGAAAGAAAAACAGCCACCGAAATACCCCAACGTTTCACAGCCCTGATGTATAAATGCAAGATCCTTAAGGACACGACATGCAACTGGGGTAAGGGGAAGAAGCAATTAAAAGTTTCTTATCTAAGCATCTTCTGAACATATTCTGCCCAGCAACAGCACCAATCTGCAATGAAACTGCCATTTCCACAAAGCATTTGCTTTTCCTGCACCTTTCACCAACAGAATTCTAATACCTAATCAAGAGCCAGTCATGTTTAAGGCAGCACAAACAGCTTCTGAACCAGATCATGCATCAGAGCAATGCATTTAAGAATTAAAATATGCTAATAACTCTGGCTTAGAGCAAACACAGCAAGACCCATGTTGCCAGCAGCTCCCTACAAAACCAGCTCTAAGGAGCATTTATAACATACACAATACACAGGACTGCAGAACACAGGTAGCTCCAGAAGCAGTCAGTCAAGGAACAGTTGGGAACAAGGAACAGTTGTGAGCAGGTGCTTCCTCCCCTGCTGAAGTTCATGGGCCACACAGATGTAAAAGCTCTCCAAGATCTGCCTTGAGTGATCAAGAAACTGATGCTACTCCAGTACAAATCACAAGGTGAACCCATGGGTAACACCTCAAGGATGTCAAATTCAATGGCTAGACATCTGGATTTAAAACAGGGCTCTTTTATTACTTTGATTCATTAGGGATCTTCCACTGTGGGGAAACCCCTACAATAAGCCATGTGAATTATGGCCTAATCTAGCCACCTACATGGGAAGCATTGTATCATCCTTCAGTCTCCGAATGGGAAAACAAGATCACCTTAGAGACATGTCTCCTTCAGGCCAATACACCTGCAGAGAATTCCTACACCTCCTTCTCCCCTCCTGCTTTCTCCCACTCCCCATCTCAGCCACGCCAAGGAAACTGCATTTAAAACCACTTCTGTTGTTAGTTCACAGAGTGACAGAGCTTAAAACAAACCTCTTTTTGCAAGGGCTTCCTAAAACTGGCCAAGATTCACTGTATGCAGCCTAAAGAGTGGTGCTGCTGCAAACGAAACCCTGCTAGCGATACTGCAGGACACAGTATATAGTTATTCACTGATGAATTACTCCTTCACAAATGAACCATCCAATACTCATTATGAGCCTTGGAATACAGTCAGTGGTAAAAAGGCCCTTTTCACCTAAAGGAGGAGCTTTCAAAATTGATAGGAAATGGGTTTGCCTCTATGTACATGCCACCAGAGGTGTGGACTGGCAGCTTCAGTCCCAGTACCAATCCCCCCAAACGCCACCTTTGTTCTTTCCATTTAAAGAACTCCAGGGAAGAGATGCTACTTTCATTTGCCCCTATTTTTTAACAAAACTGTCAAGAAGGTTAGGCTGTGTCACAAACCTGAGCTCTTCTGCACACGGGAGAACATCACTCTGCATAGCAATGAAAAAAGAACTACCAGAATATTGGGTAGCATTGATCAAAAGATTTATGTTCACCCACATATTCAGCACATAATCTTCATACACAGCTGGCAAAGCTGGTGTTTAGGGGATGCATCAAAATACTTCCACTTTCCAAGGAAGTACAAGGAGCTCTCCTTTCACTGACACTATTTCACATGCAATTGTCCCTACATAAATATTTTGAAGCCTCAAATAAAGAGGCTCAGAGCAGCAAATACCAGGTGAAAAATGAAACACCAGTGGGTTATTACAGCCCTTACTGCTGCAAGTTGTCCAGGGAGGTTGTGAATGCTCCATCCCTGGCAGTGTTCAAGACCAGGTTGGACGAAGCCTTGGGTGAGATGGTTTAGTGTGAGGTGTCCCTGCCCATGGCAGGGGGTTGGAACTGGATGATCTTGAGGTCCTTTCCAACCCGAACTATTCTATGATTCTAAGTGAATCTGCCAGCCTGGATTCTGCTTTCTGACTGGCTTCCCTAACCTGTTCAGTACAAGAACAGGGTAATTCTTTTCCACAGCTACGTTGTGAAACAATAGATTATGTGCACATGCATCCAGAAGTTTGGCTGATACAAACTAACAGCAAAAAAAAATCTATCCTTTTTAAGGAGCAGGTCGTTCCAAAATGAATTCCAAAGCGCATTCCAAAGGGAGCATCTGGAAAACCAACAACTACCCAAACAGAACCAAAATTCAGACCAAACCAACCAACCAAAACCAACCACCTAGCACACAAATCTTTTGGGGCTGTAACAGATACAGCCTCACATAACAGAACATGTAAACCATGCCATTTCATGTCAGTTCTGACAAGTGACAATATGCATCTTTGCCACCTCCTTTCCACCTTCGCTGCCCACTTCTGGACCAAGAGGACTTCTTTCTGACATGACTGTTAATTCACCAACAGTAAAAGCTCCTGAACACCACTTAGAACATTGCCACGGATCAACAAGCACAGCACATCTGATGTTAGCAATCTCAGTAATTCTTTGGATCCTCCATGCTGCAAAGTAACCACTTCAGCATGCTTGCTTTTGGCTTAACCTTTTGGATTGAACTCCCAGCATGAGAATTCTTCACAGGATGAGGCAGGAAAATTCTACAAACAGAAAGTGTTTAGGAGTCGTGTAAGCAGAGAGAGACCATGTGCACGTAGAGCTATCTGTGGATTTAAATGCCTTTACATTATCAGTGCGTTGCTTAGAAGAGAAAGTAACAAATTTGCTATCAGATTTTCTTTTGTAGAAACTTATGAGAAGATACAGTTGTTCTGCTACTACCTCCATAAGCCAGGACCATAGAGAATCACTCATCATACATAAGACCACAAGCTACCGCAGCTCCAACTAGCTGGAACAGATTGAAAGGGGGTTGGGACAAGCCCGCCAGTCTCATGAATGGATGAATGAGAAGCATTAAGATCCTCTCTATGTCAATATCCTAAGGCACTCAAGCTTGTCCAACACACATGAGCTTCTCAGCTAACTTAGAAACAGTGCTAGAAAGCCACAATTTTAAAATAAACAAACCAACAATAAAACCAACCAAAAACCCAAACCAAAATAAACCCAGAAAACCACAGAACAAAACAAAGCCAAACCAAAATGTAACCCGAAACCCTGGCCAGAAGAGTGGAAAAATAAGTTCTAATTCTTCTTCTAATGTACCATTAGGAAGTACATCGCTTCTGTGTTTCCTGAACTCTCCGTTTGACAACTATTAATGTATTAATACGGACATCATACTTAGTCATATAATCACTTCTTTGCCACATTTCTGATCTAGAAAGGCAACATAAAAATTTCAATAGGACCAGACAAGCTGATAACTCACAGTTAACATCCACAGACTGGAACAACACAGAAAGAATCTGAAGGCTGTACCTTGATGGGTTTATTAAAATCTCCGCCACAGAACGTCTGCAAGGGAACACTGAACTTCTTCCAGCACGGGTTTAAGTTGTTCTTAATCACCTTAAAAAAGACACAGCATCATGTCACATGAGGGATGCGGTGTGCAAGTCACTGAGAAACATATCACGAGTGTTCTGCTTGGCTCTCTAAGAATAGCCTCGGTCTGTTCAACCCTGATGTGCACGGACGGCCAAGCACAAGCTCTTGAAGAAGCAAAAGCCTGAAGCTCAGGGTGAAGTTAAATTTTAGAGCTGAGCCAAGCTAACAGCTCATCACCACCCAATGGGGCAAGTCCTGCCACGCTGCTCACTTGATGCACGGTCGGACTTCACTGAGCCAGTTGCATGCAGTCACCAGGCAGCAAATAAACAATTTGCCGGCAGGTCAGTGAGGAGAACCCCTTTTTTGGGATATGAGACAGTTCTGGACTGCAGAACTGGTGCAAAGCATGACCAGGAGTGGGATTTCCCCTTTCAGTAGGAATAAGTTTTCTGATCAACTCAAGAAAAGCATGGGGGTAGAAATACTACCTCTGATCTGTACACCAGCTGCCATGTTCCAGCATCACTCTGCTTGTAGAACTCCAAAAACGGATCTGATTTACCCAAGAAATCCTGCATGCAAAAAACCAACGTAAGCAATCAGCCTCCTACATTTTACTCACATAGCGGAGAGCTGGCTAATACTTCACAATACACAACACTTAAAGCACAAAGTCAAACAAACCACACCACCTAAACCTGGCAGTTGAGTTTCTAGTCTGACATTGTGGACTTCAACAAGAAACTACGTCTCCAGTTTGCTTCATTGTAAGTAAAAGAGCACATGCATTCCTGCAAGAATTACCCAGCCCAGTTGAATGTCTGCAAATACAAAGAGTCCTGGCCAGAAGCCACTAACTGTAAGCATCACACAAGCATGCAATGCAGTTTAAAACAATACCTTTTTGTCCAAGTTTTGGGCTTCAATTTCCAAGTACACAACTCTGGTGTCTTTAATCTCCTCTGCTGAAATCTGTGCCACAAAAACGTAGGGAAAAAACTGTTAAAGAAGGAACCTCACAGAGTTTTGCTTGTACTTGGTCCATGAAAGAAACTGTACTTTTAAGTACCCATCTTTCCTGTACACATGCAGCATTTGAAGACATGCTGACAGAAAACCAGAATATATGGAAGAGTGAGAAACCATTTTTCCCACACAAAAACTTACTTACTGTAATGGTGCCCTTTCCTGCTGGCTTTCCCTGCTTCAATTCCAGCGGTCGGGTGAACACAGAGCTGGACACAACCTAGGGTTAAAAGACAGATAAATATAAATACCAGGGTAGACAAAGAGCAAAGAGTCACTCTTCAAGGGCAAAATTTTCAAGCCCTTCTAAAAGATCTGAAAGGATTTAAATGCATTTCCAACAGCGACAGCCACCAGAGGTTGTGCTCCTGAGTGGCTGAACCATCTGAAAATTGCTTTCTCTTGCTATCCACAGAACAACACCCTCTAACAAGTCTCCAAACTTAACTTCAGCCTCCTATTTCTGCTGAGACACAAGAGGTATTTTCATTACAAGCAGCCCAAAAGCCATTAAGAAGATGATGACTATTTAATTTACCAAGTCTTTCTTGAAGAACATTAGCTTTCCTTTCTTCTCCTACCTTGCTATACAAATCCCTCATCAGGAAATGAATACAGAATCTCAAACAGCCTGATTTCCCCAGATTTACTGCTTGATGATCATTTTATATGAAGGAAACTCATTAAAGCTCTCCAAGCACAATGCCTTCCTTACTCCCAGACTGCCTTTAGTGCTACAAGCGCCTCCTAAGCAATTAATTGCAAACTATGTGTATTTCCAACCTCTGCTTCGTCATTGTGACAGAGATTTTTCTAACTACGTTCCACAGTAACAGAAATGAACCTGTTCAACGAGATGGTTTCAAATCTGAACGTGACAAAGCCTTCGATAAAGCAATCTTTCACCCCACTTTGCATTATAAATCAACGCTTGCTACTACTTTGTACATCATTTAACATGCCTCTAACACATACCTGTCCCAGCGTGCACTCGATCCCTCCGAGGAAGTCATCATCATTCAGATCAAAGGACTTGTTATCGATATCATACACACCGAACTTCAGCTTCTGCACCTTCTCAAAGTAGTAATCCACAACCAGTTTCTTGCAGAATTCAGGGTTTTGGCAGTTCTTGATCCTCTCTGTGCGATCCAGCTGCGCAAACACAGAAACAAAGATGCTGATGATGAGTAAGAAGCACACTTTCTCCTTCACAGCTTTTCATCTGCACTGGTTGAACACAGGCACCAGCCAGGCTACACACCTCCAGCCCTTGCTTTGTGCTCTGTGATGAACCAGGCCATGCTGGCAGGCTGACTGATGGCTTGCCAGGAAGGGAAACTGCATTGGATAACATGGGAGAATTCTGAAACTAGGGGGGAAAAGGCACTGTATTCTGGAGCATGTGATTTGGGGGCAGCCCATACTTTAACAGGCAAATAAACGCTCCAATGCAACTCTAAGCAAATATATGAGCAGTTAACAAAACGACGAAGGTAAAACCCGAACAGAGTTTGAGCATGAGCATCGGGAGCTGCTTGCTGAATGCAAATGTAAATTAAACACATCAGGCACCCACTAGGAAAAGCAGTGGGATGGAAACAGGGAAAACCCGGCACGCCTGGCAAGGGCAATGCGGGGCTGACCTAACCCTAACGCTTACCTCCGCCCACTGGCCCCCGCCCAGGTCCTGCAGCAGCACGCAGAGCGGATCCGACTTGGAGCCCAGGTCCTTGTCGAGGAGGCTCTGGCAGGACACGGCCAGCTCTACCTTGGACACGCACCCGGCCATCTGCGGGCAGAGCACAGGGTCAGACCCACCGACAGACTGATGCCACACCGACCGGTAACACACGGACCGTAACACACAGACCGGTAACACACAGACCCACCGGTAACACACCGACCGACCGACCGCGCTCCGGCCCCGCCGGCCCGACGCGGGGCTCCTCAACGCGGGGCGGTTGCGGGGTCGCGGCTCCCCACGCAGCAGCAGCAGCAGCAGCGCCCGCCGCAGCCCGGCCCCGTTATCCCCGTGTTCCCATGGGGCTGTGCCCGCGGCTCCCGGCGGCCCCGGCTCCCTGCAGGCAGCGGAGCGAAGGGCCCGGCCCGTCCCCCCCAGCCCAGCCCGGGGGAAGGGCACCGCGAAGTCTGTCCCGCACGGTGTGCTATGGCGGGGATGGGTTACACCGGCCCCGGAGCTCAAGCTCTGCCCGTGCAGATGCTCTCGGAGCCGGTCACCTCCCGCGGAAACGAAACCCCGGCCGCAGCCACCGCCCTGAGCTGAACGGGGCCAAACTGGCTCGATCCCGGTGCAGGGCTGTGACCCCCCCATCCCCAGCAGCCTCCGGGCCCTACGTGCTCCGGAGCCCCGCTTCCTCCCGGTGCTGCCTTCACAAAGCTGCAGCGTGAGCTCGTAACAGGGTGGGAACTGAATTTTATTACACATCACTGATAGAACCGGGCTGCACCAAGCCCCCATGTCCAAGCCTTGAACACTGCCAGGGATGGGGCAGCCACAGCTTCTCTGGGCACCCTGTGCCAGCGCCTCAGCACCCTCACAGGGAAGAGCTTCTGCCTTGTATCTAACCTA